CGGGGGGCGGAGGGGCGGGGAGCCGGAGGGGCGGTCCTGCCGGGGCGGTGCTGCCGGGGCGGCCGCCGCGGCGGAGATCGTTGGCGGAGGGGCGGGGGAGGCAGTTCGTCGTCGTCGTCGTCGTCGTCGTCCTCCTCCTCCTCCTCCTTCGCGGGGCCCGCCGGCAGCCATGCAGAACGTCATCAACACGGTGAAGGGGAAGGCCCTGGAGGTGGCCGAGTACCTCACCCCCGTGCTCAAGGTGCCGGTCCGGACGGGAGCAATGGCGGGGGACTGGGGGGGGTAGCGGGCAGGATGAGAGCGCGCGCTCCCTCAGGCGTTAGAGCCGCTAAGGGGGTCGGGGGGACGACTTTCCCGCCCTGTCGCGGCGGGGCGGCTGTGGAGCCGTGAGCCGCCAGGGTCGCGGGTGGCGACGGTGCGGCCCTGGCCTGGCCTGGGGTGTGAGGGGGGCCCGGCTGATCGCCCCTGGAGTCGCTCCGCCTTGCCGGAAGCCGCGCAGCGGCCGTGGCTTCCCTCGTCGCCATGGCCCGGGGAGCTCTGCCGTCGCCACCGCGGCCTTACGCAACCGGTGGAGGGTCTCAGAGGGCGCGGTGCTCCCTCAGGGGGAGGTGGTGCTGGGGCAGCCTTGCAAAGCCATCGGCCCTTACCCTGCACCGGGGCGGGTTAAAGCAGTCTACGTGTGTCTGAAAAGGTTTTATTCAGGTAGACTTCCCAGTCCCCAAAGGGGATGGAGGGAGGCCGAGTCGGAGCTCAGGTCTCGTTAGGGGTGGGAGCCCTCGCCTGGGAGGTGCACGCCTTCGAGTAAGTTATTGCTACTGCTCGAGCAATAACTTATTTGTTAACTTCTATTAGAGTGGCTAAACTTTAATCGATTGCGTGACCAGGAAGGGAAATCCAAAGGTGCTCATGTGCTGATAGGTGTAAGCCTGGTTTCAGGAATGCCTTGCAATGGTTATTTTGGATAAGAGTGCAACATCTTCAGCTGACATAAAAAGCCCCATGTCACATCTTCATAATGCTAACAGGTACATACCTTATGTACCTGTACTATGTAACAGGTACCTTATGTACCTGTACATGCTAACAGCATTATGTAGCGTAGCTTATTTCTGAATCAGCATTACTATATTAATGCAAGCCTCTGTACACTAACTGCAAATAGTCGGAATGGGCTGTTTGGTTCTTGGAAGTGAATTGTAACAGTCTGCTTGTTAAGGTGGGCAGCACATCTGTTGTAATTCCTGTTATTGTTTATTTAGGTAGAACCAAATTGTGTTTTTTTCTGCAGTTGTTCGACTACATCCCATCTGCTTCCTGTTTACAAATACTTTTTTATGCAAAACCCAACTTTGTGTGTGAATGCCTAACTTGTCAGCAGTTCTTTCACTACTAATTTTCATTTTTTTGGAATGTGTTTTTGAAAAAATACTTCTTCTGTGATTGTTCATGACAGCAACCTCTCTGCCTGTGGTTTTATGGTGTGACCTTCCATACGCCTTGTACCCTGCAGCTTAGATCTTTGGGCAGAAGACAGTGATACTCAGTTGTTAATTGAACTTGTCCCTCTATGGTATATAGTGTATTCTTACCTGGATAGTGGACCTTTCTGGAGTTTCCCCCCAATGTGGCATATTTGGGCTGCAGTGAAGTTGTGGTGTGGAAGGGTGAAGTGACTTGTTTACCATAATACAGTTGCTGTTGCATAGCTGGTGTAATAGTGGATGAATTCTTGTGCCCAGATGTATGACTGGGAAGAGGCAGAAGTAGAACCTCTCACAAATGGGAGTGTATAATAATATGTGTAAATGTTCCCTTTGCAAGAGGTTGAAATAAATACTCCAAATTGGTAACTTCGGAAAGAAACTAAACCTGTGTTTCTCACTACCTGACTTATCACAGAATATACAGAGATGAAAAATTGAACTATTTACCCTCAGGGAATAGGGGATGGATATTTAACATATTTTCCTTATGTAATTCCAGAAACACGAGTTTGTGCATGTTGCCTACTGCTTATAGTTCATTTTGAGGTTAAACAGTAAGTTGTCTCCACTATGGTGTTGCATGATGTGTTATTGAGAATTCTCAGTTTTACAGCTATCCAAATTGCTAAATTAGGATTGGTTTAGCTTCTTTGATTCCTGTTAACTAGCATATAGTGATGTTATGGCATTCATACAACTGCTGCTTTGCTTATCTTAATCTTGTTCTTTAGTGTCTTCTGTTTAGAAATAAGGGAGAAGGGAAGTAATCAGTATTGTATGAAACAGGTGTGCTCATTTCCTTTTACATACCACAGGTGATAGCATGCACCAGGGTGAAGCATCAAGAATAACCAAGTTAAGCAGTGGCAGGTTTTCTTTAATGAGTTCCTAATGATGGAACAAGCTGTAGCCAAAAGTAAGGTGCTTTTCAGTTGCTGCTTTTAGTCTTGATAGAAAAAAATTACGAGTTATATAGCTACGAAATTATTTGGTAATTGATGCAAAAAACTTGAAAAGTGAGCTATGCATGGTTGAAATCTCACTCCTTTTCAAAAGCTGTTCTTAGTTCTAATGCTGGGAAACGGTAGGTTGCCTTGGTGCTTGAGACTTTTATGAAGAAAAAACTCAAACAAATATGCTTACTCTAGATTTGAAGATGCTAAAAAATATTGTATCCTTAAACTTCCTAAATATAACCTTTAATGCAAAAGTACGTGATTTCTCTGTGCAGACTAAATCATGTTGCTGCTTGCTCTCTATTCTTTCATCTATAAAACACATGGCAATGAGAGAAAAATCAAAACTGTTTCCGTGGGGTGCATAATGAAGGCACAGAAATGGGTATTAAAAAAAAAAAGTTAATAACTAAGTCTTTCTACATAACTTTTCCTATCACAGAGAAAAGTTGGTTTGTCATTCCTTTTGTGACTTTTCTTGACTGAAAAGCCTGGTGTTGATGCTTTGCAGTGCTGTTCAGTGCCTAGAACAGTCCCAAAGTCCCGAGTGTGAGGATCACTGATTCCAACTGGTTCCCTCTCTCTTACCTGGCAGACACTATTACATTTGCCAGTATCTTTTCTTTGTTACTGATAAAATTGGCTGTAGCAAAAAAAAATATTTTGTATATGTGATCTTTTTTCACAATACCCCACATTCTGCAGCAGGTAATTTTGTTGAACCTTGCATTATAAGGAGGTGACAGTAAGCTGCCTATCAGCCCTGGCACAGGTTGCTTCCAAGCTGATACACAGATCTCTGTGGACAGAGCTAGTTCCAAGACAAAAGCGGAGCAGATGTGCAGATGTTTGTCTTACCAGTAAACTGGGGTACTTTGATTTGTCAGCAGTTCTCAAAAATTCTAAACTTTCTTTATTGCAGGAGTCCAAGTTTAAAGAAACAGGAGTAATTACACCTGAAGAAGTAAGTATTTAGATACTTGAAATGTTTTGGAAATAAAGATAAATTTTACTGAAAATGACCATGTTAATCTCAAACAGTTCATGTCTTGCCGACTAATTATTGCTTCTTGAAACAATTTCATGAAGTGGAAGTTCTAAATGGCCTTTTTACTCTACCAATGAAGTAGATAAACAGAATTCCTCTTGAGATGATACTTAATATCTGAAAGTGGGATGGTGTTTTCCTGGATTATATTGTGAAACGCTTGTAAGGAAGCTCATGCTGGATCAACAGCTCCAGTTGTCATCGGAGTTCAGGACTAAACCAGGAATATCTTGGTTTCAAAAGTCTTTCCTATAAGCAACTTAAAAGGGAACTTGTATCGTGGGAATAGTCTTTGCTTACCTCACTTTTGGTTCCTTCCAGTGCTCTGGCTAAGTCATTACATATGCTTGTCCATACCAACTATCCAATGATGATTATTTTTTCCCTCCTCTTCTCTATAAGCTACTTCAGGCTGGTTGTATTTTGGATTGCTGCCAAGCATTTGTAATTTTTTAAGGAGTCTGCTATAAAGAGAAACAAACAGATTTTTTTTCTAGAATAGTAAAAACACTGATTGTGCAGTGCTATTTTTGACTTCCGCGTTCTGCTTTTTCTCATACCGAAGTGCTACTGTTCTGAAAATACATTGTCTTTACAGAGGTATGAGAAAACAATGTTAAGACTGTTAGGTAGAATGAAAAAGAAATGAGACTGAATGCACAAATGTGAAGATGAGATGGGGAAAAGATGGAACAAATGGTGATCAATGTAGGTAGATAATGTGGACAGAAATATTTTTCATAATGTTGGTACCTAGCACTTTTCTGCTACATCGCATGGCAAGCAAGCACTCGTGCTTTCTATGATCCAGAACAAGTACTGCTCAGAAGAACAGGCTTAGCAGCATGATGTTCTACTGGTCTGATAACTATTCATATATGTGT